GATCAGGGCTCAGAGCAGTGTGCGTAAGCGATATCTTGCGGTTCTCTCTCTGTTCGAAAAGACTGCGTCGTTAGGCGAGTCTGACGACGTTCAGTGGTTTGTGACGAGAAAATAATGGTGTCTGCAGAGAGCCGCAGACATCACTAAGAAGAAGAACGGAAGATAAATTGAAATGGCGTCAAACGGGCGGTCATCTTTGTGCTAGCCTGTGATCTAGCTGGGGTTGCCTTTGCCTCCCTAACTCCGTGAGGAGCGAGAGCTTCAGTCATGATTTACGAACGAAGCTCCCGGTGAAATAGCCTCCAGCGACGATTGTCCTCGGAGCGGCCTTGTATCGCTAAAAGCGGTTGGTTGGATTTTAAAAAAAAATCTTTGTTTTATTTACAATACGAGAAAATTGCATTTTGTAATGACTCTGCGGGGACGCAAGTCAAGGGTGAGCTGCCCCGGTCCATGAATATGTATATAGTGTAACAAGCGTGTTCTTCGGAAATGTTTCGGCAAGAGACGCGCGAAGGCAAGCAAGAAAGCTGCAGCACAGAAAACGGGAGGCCGAGGCGGCGCGACACACTAACGTCGTCGTCTTTTCTCTCGTCGGCACAGAGCTGGCACCGATGTGCACCGGTACACCTTCTCCCGCACAAACCGGAGATCACAAAACAACACGCCACGCTCACGCCGGAAGAACTACAGCGAAGCGTGCTCTATAAAACTGTGAATCCGCGAATGACCGCGCCCAGTCGTCTAAAGGTCGCACGCGGAGCTGTGGCACGACTCCCGTCGCGGTGTCCTGGAGTTGCCCCAATGTGGCCCTTCTTGTGCTGCACCATTGGAGCAGTTGCGGACGATGGGTCTTGGCGTGCTCGAAGATTCCGTTGTCGACGTCTTCCAGGACGGCGCGAACCAGCTCCGCGCTGCGGCACCACACCTTGTGCGCCGTCTCTTCGTCGAGGACCTTGCGGGACCAGGACGACTGTCGACAGGAGACGAAGTACTTCCCGCTCACGTTGCGCAGTTTGGGCGAGGACGCCAGGTGGACCGGACCCCGCGCGCCTTTGCGAGGGCTCTGCGAAACAATAGTGGTGGTTTGCACTGGTTCTCTAGGTCTTGGTAAGAGTGATAGCACAAAATGGACGAGTAACAAGTACCACGTGAGGTCGAGTGCTGTTCTGCAATAGAACAGAGCGAAGAATCGAAGATGCGGAAAAGGCCCCGCCACGGTGGTCTAGTGGCTAAGGTACTCGGCTGCCGACCCGCAGGTCGCGGGATCAAATCCAGGCTGTGGCGGCTGCATTTCCGATGGAGGCGGAAATGTTGTAGGCCCGTGTATTCAGATTTGGGTGCACGTTAAAGAACCCCAGGTGGTCAAAATTTCCGGAGCCCTCCACTACGGCGTCTCTCATAATCAAATGGTGGTTTTGGGACGTTAAACCCCACAAATGAATCAATCAAATCAAGATGGGGAAAAGGGAGTTGGGGTCAGACGATGTGTTGATTGAGAAAAAAAAAGCCAGTTTGGCCTCATGGGTTAAGCAGTGAATGTACTAGTGACAAATTGGGGTATCACATACGAAGTAAAGTAGCCGCTCACTCTTTCAGTATGTTACCGTAACTTAGCGAATTGCTGGCGTAAAGAGACGCGGTCTCTGCAGCGAGCGAAGATACCTTCGTGCTGTATATTACCTGAATGCAACAACATAAATGCAGCCTTGTGCCGATCCTTGTAAAGATACGACGCGCGCGACCGCGACTACTTTCATTTCATTTCATTTATTTACTCTCAAGGCACTGGGCATTACAGAGAGGAGTGGGACAACAAATATCAATAAGAAGTCAAACAAAACAGCAGGATTAGAATAAATTATAATGCACTTTCAGAAATTATTGATTTGAACGCGTTGGCGTCTGTGATTGAAGCGATCGATGCGGGAAGGTGGTTCCAGTCAGTACATGTTATAGGGATGAAAGAGTTGTGCTGGTTCGTATGGCAGAAGGGAACCCCAACCTTGTATTGATGGTCATTGCGTGCTGATATGTAGGCTGGTGGAAAAAGCAGTGAATCAGAGAGGGTTCTGTTAGTGTGATAGATCTTATGAAAGAGAAAGAGACGTGAACTTTTGCGTCGTATTGAGAGGTTATACAAATTTAGTTTTGAGAGGTTATTTAGTATTCAGAGGTTATACTTGCTGAATATATATATACTATCTTTACACATATTCATCATCATGAGTGGTCGTCATCTTCATCTGCTGTGGGGACTTGGCTTGCCTGAGTTCTGTGCCTTGGGCGTGGTCGCTTCATCGTGTCTTCTGGGCCTAATAAAGGTTGCCTTCACAGTTACATCACAAGTAGTGGAGGTGCTGGGTATCATTGAGAGGCCGAAAGATTGCAGCTCTTCCCGTATAATCGCCCGAATCATGGCACGCAATGAGGCATCAGTCTGGGTGGTGTTTTCAGCGCTGTCCGGCGGTAACCGTTGGGATTCAAGTTCCTCTAGGCGTTGGCACGTGGCAACAACGTCAGCGACTGTAGTCGGGTTTTGAATGACCAAGACATTGAACGCGACCGTGCCAATCCCTTTCAATAGATGACGAACTCTCTCTGATTCAGACATGGACGTGCTGAAACAGTGACAGAGAGCAAGCACATCCTCTATGTACGATGTGTAGGACTCACCGCATTGTTGCTTGCGAGCATCCAGTGTCTTCTTCGCGAGAGCTGAACGAACCACCGGGGTGCCGAAAATTTGGCGAAGCTGTTGCTTGAAACGTGTCCAGTCCGTAATGTCCGTTTCATGATTGAAAAACCATGTTTTCGCTACGCCTGTCAGGTAGAAAGAAACACGGCGGAGCTTGGTAGGATCATCCCAGTTGTTAGTGGAATTCGCTCGATTGAACTGGTCCAACCAATCCTCCACATCTTCACCTCGAAGTCCGGCGAACGTGGGCGGCTCACGCTGGTGCGCGGTGATAATTCACGATGGATAGGCCGCGGTAGTCGAGGCCGTGGAGGTAGACGCAGAAGCGCCGGTTGGCTCGTCCTGAGGCATGTTACCGGACACCTGGCACAAACGACGACCTGAGAGGAGCTCCAGGAGGCAGATTGGGCTGGGGGAGGACGGAAGATCGTAGAGCACACTCCACCACTTGTGATGTAACGGTGAATGCAACCTTTATTAGGCCCAGAAGACACGATGAAGCGACCACGCCCAAGGCACAGAACTCAGACAAGCCAAGTCTTCACAGCAGATGAAGATGACGACCACTCAAGATGATGAATATGTGTAAAGATATAGATGTGCTTAATGAATGCCTACAATATATATATATATATATATATATATATATATATATATATATATATATATATATATATATATATATATATATTATATATATAATATATATATATATATATATATATATATATATACCTCCTGCAGAAGCCAGGTGTTTTCAAGGAATGCTCACCGTTCCGAACGTGTGCAGGAAGGCGTTCCACAGAAAGTGGCGGAAGCCCGGTTCCTTCTGGTTGAAGTCTGTCGACACTACGCCTGGATGAACCGCGTTGCAGGTCACACCTGTTAAAACATACATACATACATACATACATACATACATACATACATACATACATACATACATACCTACATACATACATACATACATACATACATACATACATACATACATACATACATACATACATACATACATACATACATACATACATACATACATACATACATACATACATACATACATACATACATACATACATACATACATACATACATACATACATACATACATACATACATACATACATACATACATACATACATACATACATACATACACCACATTTGGGGTGGGAGGCTCACTTGCTCAAGGCATTGGCTAAAACACCGATTTTCATTGTTTTCGGGGAAAAACTTCCTTCATCGAAATATACGACCCCTTCCTCCAGAACCTCCCCCCCCCTCCCCCATCTGACTACGGGCCTGCATACAATCTATTTAATGGTACGCTCACGGTTCTCGTCAGGGTGGCATGTGCTATTGTTCACGTTGGTTGTGTATACGAGGTTTCTCCCTGTAGGTTACGGTTACAGTCACGTTTCAAAGAAGACGTTTTTTTAGTGGTAATGATCGTCATGTTTACCGGTTCCCCGGAGTTGGCGGGCCAGCTCGACGCTGAACAAGTTGAGCAAGAGTTTGCTGCTGGCGTACGTTGACTCGACGCCGGGATACTCGAAGTTGGCTCCTCCACGTGCGGCCGTCTCCAGCTGGTCCCACGGCACGCGGCCCAAGCGGTACAACGATGAAGTCACGTTCACCACGCGACTCGGTCCGCTCCGCTTCATCAAGTCTGCGCGTGAGTTTGAGTCTGATTGCTTGGAAGTATAACAAACTAGGGTTCCCTGTGCGAAAAGCACGCCTGTGTACCGAACCTAGTGAAACCAACAATGAAGACGCGTAAGGTATGGACCTTGAGAGAGGCGACGGTCTGTCGCAGCGCCCCAACCTCAAGTCGATGCCCCCTCTTTTATGCCAATGTGCGGGGCTGACGTGATTACAGTACAAGTGCTTGCAGTACTTGAGAAATGCTTCGCATTCAAAAAGACAGTTGTTGCTTACAAACATCGCACACACTGTTCATTTGCATGTCAACAGAGTCAGTTGAAAACAAAGAAAGCCAACGAGGAATATAAAAAAAAAATGAAGCCTTTCGTAAGGGTATAGAGTATAGTTTCTTGAGTGTTTAAGGCTCATAGTGATCACAATGTGCCCTTTGCATCTAAAAGCATAGCGTAAATTTTTGTCCTCCTCGGCGAAAGCTTCCTTATCGTCAAATGTGAGTAGAGTACCGAGTACTCTAAATGGTCAACAACTTTTTCTATACACCAAATTTTAAGGTGCTGCAGCACTGTTTTGTTGTTGTTGTTGTTGTTTTCATATATGCTGCAAATGAATGGATACTATCGCTACTCACCCAACAGCAGATGAGTGAGTAAGAAAGGCCCGAGGTAATTGGTGGCCAAAGTAATTTCCACGCCTTCGCACGTCAGTCGCTTCTGCGGTGGCGCTGAAAAAAAAAAAGTCAATACATAAATTGCTAACAAGACATAGGAAGACGATTAAGTTTTAACTGTAACAAGAGCCAACTGTACAGTCTGTCAAAAAAAAAAAGGAAGAAGTCTTCGGACTTTTTTTGTATTTTTACTCGTGAATTGCCGCATAAATTATCCTTGCTATAAATACATGTGAAATCTCTTTGGAAATCAGTATATTCTCGTTGGAGAGTCAGAGAATCCCAAAAAGAATCATTGTACCTGTTTAAAAGAGAGTAGCACACGTGTCAAGTCAAGATTTTCGTCAAAAGCGACCATGTTCATTTTTGAAGCAGAATCATTGTCTATCGTGAGCCGTGTTCGTACGCTTCAGAAAAGCCACAATCAAATGTATTAAGCCCGCCTATGTACACCTTTCGCAGTACGTACAGCAAGCACTCTTCTGCATGGCGAATGTCCCTTATCGAGCAACCTTCAGCGCTTCCGGATGGATGGACTAACGTACTTTGCCCTTGACTTATTGGACGCGCTCCTCAATACAATTCCATATACCTATAATTTCGTTGTTGGGGTCGTGTGCAGCAATGCTTGTAGTGTGATGGTCATTGAAAGGAATCTTTTGTCATGAATTTCATTTCACTGTTGAGGCGTTCTGCTTATTTGCACACTCGGTTACACCTAAGGAGAAATTCCAACTCAACCCACATAACGGCGGGACACTTTCCCTTCGCATATATGAAAGACAGTCGTACTAGGAGGATTCCTCTCGAACCGTAAGCACTTTATCTCAGATAATGCGAAAAACTCCGCATATTAAGAGTTAAAGTTCGATCGTTGCTACCTAGAAGATTACGTTTGGCCGAGCAGTGATGTCAGCGTCCCTTAGAAAATTCACCAGGATCTTCAAGTTTCCGACCAACACGCGACACAACTGTGTGTCTCTATGAGAAAGTGTGAGAGTGAACCATCGAAACGTCTCGGGAGTGCTGGACGTCGCGAAAATGAATAAACGCTATTGGATGAAGCGCTTGTGCAAATTCTTTGCGAGAGGGACGGAGAAGGCTGTGAGTGGAGAGAGATCAACTTTAATTGAAACGGGCAAGTGTAAGAGGAGGTCCATTCTCTCCCTTCGATGGCGGCTAGTGCTTGGGCCCTAGCGGCATCTTCGGCTTGCCCTGGTCACTGCTGCTTGCCTGGTCCTGGAATGTTCGAGCTAAGCAGCGCGGTCTCACACTGTTGCCAGGTTCGGATATTCGGTGTTTGACCCCTTCACGAGGTTGGGGAGCATTTTATATTAGGGTGACGTACCTGTGATCCGGCGTTGTTGACGAGTACGTCGAGGCGCTCTTCGGTTGCGAGTAGCTCGTTCGCGAATCGACGCACCGAGGTGAGAGACCCGACGTCGAGCGACGCGAACTCGACCTTATCGTTTCCGGTAGCCCGTCGAATGGTTTCGACGGCTGCACGGCCCTTGCTCTCGCATCGACACGCCACGATGACCCTGGCGCCGAGTCGCGACAGCTGCAGCGCCGTCTCGAAGCCGATGCCTTGAATATGCGAAAACAAAGAAGAGAGGAGAGAGGGCTGAGCTCAAGATTGGCTGCAGCAACTCGCAGGCATCGTGCTCATTTCGTCAATGTCCTTCGAAATTTCGCCGTCGCTCTGTTCTTGCTCAAATGTTCCAGTAACGACACAAATTATTGATCATGCCTTTCATCCCAATGCTCGACACTTATCACTGTATTATCATAATAAGACTATGAACTTACATTCGTTTTCAAACAACAACAATAACAAAAAAAAGAATAGTAGTGGTTGAACGTGCAGGAACTGTAGTCTCGAGCCACCCATGAACCTCAGCGGGGAGAGGCAAAAAGAAATTAGATCCCCCCCCCCCTTCCCAAAGAAAAGAAAGCAAGAGGCGTAGAATAAGAATTAAAAAAAAGGCGGGCAAGTTAACCAGGTCTGAGCCCGGTAGGCTACTAATGCACTTGCCCTATCACGGAATGACTATGCTGCGAATATCCTTGTGCAGCGGTTCGTTGGTGAGCGGATGAAGCTTGCCCAATTTCTGTGGCGCGCACGTGCTATAGTTGTAGACTGTTTCTTCATTTTTACTGGACAGTATGAGTGACGGTGCATGCCAGATATCCTTATAGAACATACATGCAAACATCGTTGTGCCCGTATTATCCTGGTTTTGAGAGGCACAATCGGTGTAAAACTGTACCTCTGCGACTCGCGTCACCGCGCGTCAATCCAAGCGCTATATCGAGCCCCAGAAGTCTTAAGTAGAATCATCATCATCATCATTATTATCATCATCAGCAGCAGCCTGACTACGCCCACTGCAGGACAAAGGCCTCTCCCATGTTCCGCCAGTTAACTCGGTCCTGTGCTTGCCGCTGCCAATTTGTACCTGCAAACTTCTTAACCACATCTGTCCGCCTAACCTTCTGTCTCCCCCTAACCCGCTTGCCTTCTCTGGGAATGCAGTTGGTTACCCTTACTTAAGTTGGATACGGGCAACACCACCTAGACTACTGTGAATAGTCTAGGTGGTGTTGATACGGGCCGCTAAACATATTCTCGCCAGCCACCGTGCTCCCGCGGGCGGTGTGTTGCGCCAGCAGTTGGTTACCCTTACTTAAGTCGGATACGGGCCGCTAAAGATATTCTCGCCAGCCACATCGCTCCCGCGGGCCGTGTGTTGCGCCGCCGGGCAGTATACAGAAACAATATTTCCCGTAGACTGCTGTTGCATACGTTTTGGCAGGCTACAGACTCACCGGCATTTCCTCCCGTGACGACCACAGTCTTGCCGCGCATGTCCACGTCGTCTTGCGAATCGGTCGCGCACTTCTCGGTCTTCTGTGTCTTTCGAGAGAGTGCCTTGAAAGTGAAGACGGTCGCGATGACGCAGGAGATTACGACGAGCAGCACGATTATCGCGGGAACAGTGCACCTGGTGCCGACCAAAAGCAACTCGTCTACGGCCACGAGGGTTGAATGACCCCTGTGAGAGGTCGAGAAGATAATGCCTAATTAGGAGGCGTTAAAGAACAACATGCTTCGCACACTTTAAGAAAAAGAATGTTTTATTCTTTTCAGTAACTCCAGTCCACGGTGTAAAATTATTCTTACACCGCGGCCACGACTATCCGGTGTGAGTATAGAGTGATTCCCAATGAGAGTTGGCGGGTTTCTTTTAGTACAGTCATGTGCATGTCAAGTTAGAACTTACCGAAACGAGTAAAAGAAGAAAGGGACTCATATTGGACATGCTGCACATCTATTTGTATTGTACACTGCGACGGAAGAAAACGCACCAGTTTAGTGTTTCACCCGCTGTTTGAAAAGCTTAAACTCGAGCCGAATCTTCTTTTACTGTATTCATTGCACCGTATAAATGGCACAAGTACGCGTATCGGACACAGATTACTCTACCGCCATGGTCATGCACTGAAATCGGTGTCTCATTGATCATAGCTTAAGGTTCTGACTTTGCACAAGAATTTTTTGTGATCTGTCCAGGCCAGTGAAGTGCAGTGTGGAAACGGTCGTTCTAATTAGCACATGCCTATAGCGTGATTACTAGGCAAAATTTTACTAGAAACAAACAAAAAAAAACGTACGTGAAGGCGAACACACTTAGCCTACATCACTCGTTCGTTCCTTCTCTCGCTCACACCCACTCCCTCACTCACGCACTTACTATCTTACTCTCACTATCTCGCCATCTCACTCACTCACTCACTCACCAACCCATTAATTCGTCGCTAACACTCGCTCATTATCGCCCCCTCTGTACCGCTTTCTTACTCATTACAGCTCACTAACTCGATAACACACTATCACTCTTTCATGCACTCATTAACTCTCACTCACCCATTCACTCACTTGCTCACTTACGCAACAAACCACACACTCACTCTTTCTCTAACACTTACTATCACTCACTCAATGTCTCTTTTACAAGCACTAACACTTACTATCACTCACTCAATGTCTCTTTTACAAGCACTATCACTCGCTAGCACTCACTCGCTCACTCACTCACCAAACCACACACTCACTCATTCACTAACACTTACTATCACTCACTCAATGTCTCTTTTACAAGCACTAACACTTACTATTACTCACTCAATGTCTCTTTTACAAGCACTATCACTCGCTAGCACTCACTCGCTCACTCACTCACTCACGCACCAACCCACACACTCACTCATTCACTAACACTTACTATCACTCACTCAATGTCTCTTTTACAAGCACTATCACTCGCTAGAACTCACTCGCTCACTCACTCACGCACCAAACCACACACTCAATCATTCACTAACACTTACTATCACTCACTCAATGTCTCTTTTACAAGCACTAACACTTACTATCACTCACTCAATGTCTCTTTTACAAGCACTATCACTCGCTAACACTCACTCGCTCACTCACTCACGCACCAAACCACACACTCACTCATTCACTAACACTTACTATCACTCACTCAATGTCTCTTTTACAAGCACTAACACTTACTATCACTCACTCAATGTCTCTTTTACAAGCACTATCACTCGCTAACACTCACTCGCTCACTCACTCCACGCACCAACCACACACTCAATCATTCACTAACACTTACTATCACTCACTCAATGTCTCTTTTACAAGCACTAACACTTACTATCACTCACTCAATGTCTCTTTTACAAGCACTATCACTCGCTAACACTCACTCGCTCACTCACTCACGCACCAAACCACACACTCACTCATTCACTAACACTTACTATCACTCACTCAATGTCTCTTTTACAAGCACTAACACTTACTATCACTCACTCAATGTCTCTTTTCCAAACACTATCACTCACTAACACTCCCTCCCTCACTCACACACTCACTCGCTGAAGCAGGAAGTAGGCGAATGTTTAAACTTCTGCAGCTCGGCTGGCGCATCAAAAAGCAAATAAATCGCTTTCGTTTGATGGCCCAGGTCGTAAAGAAAAGTGTGCGACAGCGAGTAAGTGTAAATCAAAGCTCGAAATAAGGAAGCAAAGAAGGCGGCTGCCGTTCGAAACGATCAAAAGAAAGCAATTGAAACGTCTGCCTATAGAAATATACACAGACACTATAGGCAAACGAGGAAACGAAGCTCGCGAGAGGACGTTTTTCAGAATGTCTCGCTTTATTATTTTCGTCACTGCGCAAATGAGGACCTCCGCTGAAAAAGCGCAAAATACCCCGACGCAGGCGTTTTCATTTTCATGTGGATGTCGACTGATAAAAGCGTTATTTAAAAAAAAAAAGTTCTCTATATACAGGCTTAGCTGTACATGTACAGCTTGTGCTTATGCCGGTTTATATATATTTATAGGCTATTCTGACTTATTAAAATTCAGTCAGTGAGAACAACTGTAGTTCTTGAGATCGGGTATTTAAAAAAATTGGTATACATGTACGTCTTCGACTAATGAACTGAAATTCAATCATTATCTAACGTGCTGCCTCTGAATAAAAAAGTTTCGTAGAATAATTAGAATGACGGGTAGAGTGCACGTTCGCTGTTATTGACGCGATAGTCTTTGATGCCTAATGAAAGCTGAAAATTGATTGATTGATTGATTGATTAATTTGTGGGGTTTAACGTCCCAAAACCACGCTATGATTATGAGAGACGCCGTAGTGGAGGGCTCCGGAAATTTAGACCACCTGGGGTTCTTTAACGTGCACCCAAATCGCTGAAAATTGATCATCGGCGTCGGCGGCGTCAGCACGAGCGATGCACAAGATAATTATCGCGCTATGGCGTCATCGCGTTTTGCGGTGGCGTCCTCACATGACATCACGATGGCGTCATCATGATGTCCTCGTGAGGTCACTACGACACACGACGACGCTACCAGATGACACCGTCGCTTGGTCATAGGTGACCCGGTCGCGGAGGCAGTGCACAATCAGGTAAAGCGCAAGAAGCTTGAATTGCTTCCGATCTTCGAGGCATTGCAAAAATGCGTTGAGTGCTGAATGCTTTTGGAGGGTGCCGGGAAAGGATCAGTACATCATTCGGACTCGGAATAAAATTTCACCTTCGAATCGTCATAGGCGAATAGGGAATGGACCCTGTGAGTTATCTGCAAATAATTAACATAACGCATTTAATTAACACATATAATCACCAGTCCATTAATTAGCATGCAGTAATTAACCAAACGTTAGGCGCGATACGAAACACATTGAAGCTCTCGATTTGTAACCGTTGAGTTCGCGAAACACGCGAACTTGGAATAAAATTTAAAATGCGCACGTCAACTTGGAAATACGTGCCATCGAAATTGCGTGAAGAAATGCGCTGTTGTTCCGGATGCCTATACTTTGACGAAAATGAGCATTTTAAAATTGTTTTCTGCTTGCTACCCATGCTACGCAGTTCCTCATGTTTCACAAAGGTGGCGCTGCCATGCGTTTTTTTTCGATGTGAGCTCGTTATAGGATTCAGTCTTACCGAAATTTCCCTCGGCCAGCATGCTCACTCGGACCCGCATTTACCGAAATTCTACTCACCCCTAATGGCAGTCGAAGAGTAGACTTGCTGCGAAGGAAACTCACGTGATCTACCTGTCCGTGGCCAATCAGGATCTGCCTAGGACCCGTGTCGTGGAATTGCGTATTGTGAAACTAACTGGAGAACTGGTACATCAAGCCTCACTTTAAGGGGGGAGCGAGGATAGGCGACGGCAAGCGCTTTTCGGGCACCTTAACATGTGCCTGAGACCCTACTGTGCCTCAGTGACTCCGCTTAGCGTGGTATGTAGAAGAAGGAAAAAGTGATGCTGCGCGCCACTGCACTGTTGGCATTATCATAATGGGCCGCCAAACGCCGACTCATTCGCTAATGCGCGGGGGGGGGGGGGTAAATTTTTCCTTAAGCCATTGCATTCGCCTGAACGCCCCGCCGCGGTGGTCTAGAGGCTAAGCTACTCGGCTGCTGACCCGCATGTCGCGGGTTCAAATCCCGGCTGCGGCGGCTGCATTTCCGATGGAGGCGGAAAAGTTGTAGGCCCGTGTGCTCAGATTTGGGTGCACGTTAAAGAACCCCAGGTGGTCGAAATTTCCGGAGCCCTCCACTACAACGTCTCTCATAATCATATGGTGGTTTTGGGACGTTAAACCCCACAAATCAATCAATGCATTCGCCTGAACGTACGTACGTGCTCGAACTATAGTGATAGTTGCGGCGTATCAATCTTGTTTGGTGAGACATGTTATGCTACTATATGTACGAGAGAAGGGAACCTTACGGGTTCGTTTGTAAATGACGGCCAATAGATAATGAAACCATGGAAGCTGTACTGAACGTTAATCGTACTTATTCCAATTCGTGGTGAAACAAGCGAAATATGCACGAGGACTTAGTAAGGACACAGGTGCATGTTGCGCTTGTTTCGTCATGAACCTATACCAACGTGCCCGACTGGCCGTCATCCTAATTGTTTTAATTATATTGTGGTAATTGCGGTGTAAATTTGAAGAAATATAAAGTGAATGAAAAGACAACCAACCAGCCGCTGGGAAAGGAGTGAGCCTGCAACCTTCGGATAAATCTCCCGATGCTCCACCATTTGCATTGAGGTATTTGCTTTCGGGATAGTTGGTGCCGAGGAGGTTTAAAAAAAAGTTACTGCCACCATCTTACTAGGGGCATGATGACCTGTTCACGTTCGGCGATTGAGAAGGAGCGTTTTCCTCGCACGCCCAACGAGTTTAACGTGGCAACCTTTTAGGGTCGAATAGTGCTCAAAGTGCGTCTTTGAGTCACTAGTTCTTTTTTTTCTTTGGTAAACCTCAAAGTGAAGGCAAATTTCATTGAAGATTAGGTCACCAATACTATATATCCTGCAGATTATCTTTTGGAAACACGTATCTTTTAATTTATAATTAACGTAGTTTTTAGACTAACAAATCTAAGCCACTTGATCTATAAGTGGGCACCGCCAGAAAATAGCATGT